GCTGGCAACCTCTGAGAATCTGGTCTGTTTATTTACTTTTTTATTTTTAACCTTTTTAGTAAATGAGTAGGGCTGACACGAAGGGAGCCGATGTACAGCTGAAATCAGCCATACAGGACTGAAGCGAATAGTCGAACGGCGTTCGGCTCACTTCACTTCGGCTCGGTTATTCACTCGTGAGACATTTTCGTGCTAATAATGCTCATAATCATGCGCATACCCACAGACCCCAAAGCGCACAACGCTGCACATGCAGATTGGCGTGCACGTGCTCACATCTAATCATGGCAGCATAGGCGTGCACGCCTGTTGCATTAGTGTGTGCACACAAATGTACAAACACACGCATAATATGTGTAATATATATATATATATATATATAACAGCGTAGTTTATATATATATATATATATACACACACACACACACTGTATGTGTATATGTGTGTGTGTATATATCATACTTACACAGACCGGAGGCATTCTCTTCTTGAAGAAAGATAATCATAATATCACCATCTTTGTTCTCCAATGTACATCTTTCAATCCTAGTAGTTCCTGGTTTCAGGTATGTTTATTTTATGCATACAATGTGTTTGGTTCCCTTAATGTGCTGCTGGTTGCTCCAGCGGCAGCTTTAGTGACGTTTTTCCCACACTGGTTTTTCTATTTTATTCTACCCTTGTTCTCATTTTAATTGACATCAGTTATTTGAGGCGAGTCGTAAAGGACTGTTTCTTGTGCTACACAAAGACAAAGTTGTTTTGAGGCTCAGGACCTCTTATTATCCCAAGGTGTGTTTTCATTTCAGCTTAACCAGGACATGGTTCTACCAGCTTTATATCCATCTGAAACATCCTAAGATTGGCATTCAGGAACTACAAAGAATGTAATAAAAGATGTAAACATGAAATTTGGGCAGCTAAAATAGATTGGGAAAAGCATATCGTCACAGTCAGTAAAAGTAACCCCAACAAATTCTACCAGTATATAAACAGTAAAAAGGTAAGAAAAGAGCAGTTAGGCCCAATAAAGGATGAAAAGGGGAGATTAGTCACAAACGACAGGGAGAGGGCCGAGGTGTTGAATTCTTTTTTCTCCTCAGTATACACTCGTGAAAAGATGGGTTTAATGTAGATGAGAATGCAAGTAGCCCATTGCAAAATATACCACAGTGGTTGATAGTAGAACATAGACTTGAAAAACGTAATGCAAATAAAGCATTAGGGCCAGATAACCTGCACCCCAGGGTAACTAAAGAACTCAGCTAGGTTATAGCGAGAACATTATTCCTCATTTTTAAAGACTCCTTAATGACTGGAAGAATACCAAGTGACTGGCAGAAAGCTGCGGTAGTACTGATATTCCAAAAAGGGGCAAGATGTCAACCTCCGAACTACGTCCCAGTTAGTCTTACATCAATAGTATGCAAACTGTTAGAGGGAATGATAAAGGACTACTTAGAGTTTGTTCATGAAAATGGTATAATAAATGATAATCGGCATGGATTTAGGAAGGACCATTCCTGCCAGACCAACCTACTAACATTCTATGAAGAGGTAAGCTGAGAGCTATGTGCATAGATGAAATGGTGTGTACATGGATAGAGAATTGGCTACAGGAACGTGTCCAGAGGGTATCAAAATATGGCTCCTTTTCAGATTGGGCTAGGGTCATGAGTGGCGTGCCCCAGGGTTCTGTGCTAGGCCCCATGGTATTCAACCTGTTTATTAACGATATCGGGGAGGGAGTGAATAGCTATGTTTCTGTGTTTGCTGATACTAAAATCGAGAGGGTAATAGACACGGACTTAGACACTATAACATTACAGCAGGACCTGGATAAAATAGAGGAGTGGGCAACTATATGGCAGATGAGGTTTAATGTTGATAAATGTAAAGTAATGCCTGTTGGGGTTAAAAATAGGCAAGCGGAATACACATTAATGGGAACTCCCCTAGGGAAGTCAGAAATGGAGAAGGATATGAGGGTCATTGTCGACCACAGATTGAATAATAGCTTGCAATGCCAGGCTGCTGCAAACAAAGCGAGCAAGGTACGGTCTTGTATTAAAAAAGGAATGTACTGCAAAGACAAATCTATGATTGTGCCACTTCATAGATCACTGGTTCGGCCTCATCTGGAGTATGCGGTCCAGTTTTGGTCACCAATCCACAGAAAGGATGTCCTTAAGCTGGAAAGAGTCCAGAGAAGGGCAACTAAACTAATTAAGGGGAGGGAGAACCAAAGCTATGAGACAAGGTTACTAAATGTAAACATGTTCACGCTGGAAGTGAGGAGATTAAGAGGGGACATGATTTTGATGTACAAGATGTTCAATGGTGATAGCAACATCAGCAATAAGCTTTTTACTGTAACCTCCATAAGAAGGACTAGAGGCCACCACCTAAAATTGGTGGAGAAAAGATTTAAGCACAAGGGGCGTAGGAGCTTCTTCTCAGTTAGCCCTGGTTCACACCTGGGCCTTTTTTCAGCGCTGATCGACGTGCTGTAAAATGCCCAGCAAGTGAAATCCTATCATTTCCTATGGGCATGGTTCCCACCTGGGACTATTTCAGCGCGTAGGAACGCGCTGAAAAACGCATAGCCCTCGTAAACGCGTGTTTGTCGTGCGTTTCATTGACCGCAAATCGCGGTAAAAACATGCGTCAAATGCGAATATTACGAACGCCCAAGTGTAAACCCAGCCTTAGAGCGGTTAGGGTCTGGAACTCGCTGCCACAAGCAGTTGTATCAGCTGAGAATGTTGAATTATTAAAAAAGCATTTGGACAATTTTCTCAGAGACCGTAACATACAGGGCTACAGGTACCATTCAAAACAAGATCACACAGGGACTCATACACACGCATACACATGCAGAATCACGTACATACACTCAATAGGTTGAACTTGATGGACCTGTGTCTTTATTCAACCTCCGATACTATGTTTACCTTCATTGTCTGGTTGTGGTACACACTGTTTGAGTCTATCTCTTGGGTACAGCTTCCCTTCAACAGGGTAACAACGGTATCACAAGCACTAGTGGTGTGTTGACTCAGGTAATTAAAATAGTGGTGTGTTGACTAAAAGGTGAGCTGCCCAATTACCGTTGCTTCCCAAGCAAGGGCTGTCTCAGATGAGCTTTGCTTAGTCTTAACCCTTTCGCTGCCAAGCCCTGCGGAACATTTTTCAACTCAGCTGGCCACGCCATTTTTGCAATTTTTCCCATTGATTTGATTTTTAACTGCTGCGTTGCTAGCGTTTGTAAAAGACCCCCCAAACCATATATTTTCTGAAAGCGCAGGCCCGGTAGAATAAAAAGATGGTGATACTAAATTTGTAGGCCCTGCGATAATTTGCGCAAATGTTTCTCAAATCAATATTAAACCGATAAAAATACACAATTCAATTGATAAAACACACTAAAATCATTATCGGTGTACAAAAAAAATAATTTTCTGACTAAATCTAAAAGATAAAACTGTATTGAGTTAATAAATAACAAATATTTGCTAATTTGTAATTGTGCCTTTTTGCGAAAAGGTAAAAAAATGAAGGTACGCAAAACTGTAAATAAGCGCCTTATGTTAAAAATATAACATGTGTGTTGTGATAAAATGATACAGGCGTATATTTAATTGCAACACAAGGTATCACAACGCATGGCAATGCGTCACAAAGTTTTGCCATGCGCTGCCACAGTTAATTTAATGTTTTTTTTCAAAGAATAAAAATAAATTTTAAAAATGCACTGCGATGCATTCTAACAATGCACTGCAATATGTGTATGTTATGTGGGGGGAGGGAGGAGTTGTGCTTTTTTTTATTAGTTTTTTTTAACATTTTTAAATTTAATTTTATTTTTTTTACATTTTTTTATTTATTTTTCAATATTTTTTTATTTTTTTTACTGTTGGGGAGGCTACAGTGAAATATCTGGGGTCTAAACAGACCCCTGACATTTCCCTTTTGAAATAGAAATTGAGAGCACAGAGTCCTCAATTTCTTTTTATGCAGCCTCAGCACTCAATGAATGGGAAGCACTCAGTACAGAGGCTTCCCATTCATTCAGAAATGAATATATGAATATTTACTATTTTTACTATCACCAGTTTATGAATGGGGAGGAGCCTCTATAGTGAGTGCTACTCCCCATTCATACATTCTTGAATGAACAGGAAGTGATGTAAATCACAGCCTGTTCATTCATAACTGGGGACACTATGTGTCCCCAGTTATTTTACAAACACCGGAGTGATCAGACGATCACTCAGGTGTTTGCTCTGCACAGCGGGATCGATTAAATATCAATGGTATTTATCGATCGCCCGCTCATTGGAACGGCTCCAGGGAGGGATGAGAGACTCCAGATGCCGGCAGCAGCGGTGGGGGGGGGAGCACCCGGTATTTTTGCTAATAGCTGTCATCGGCTGCTTGTGAGCCGCTGATGACAGCTATTAATTTGAAGAGTACAGTCTGCTGAAGAGTTCTGCTATAAGTTCATGGTCGCTAAAGCGACCATGAGCTTGTAGCAGAACTGTAAATGCCACCGACGTAAGGCATACTGAGCTGGCCAGCCGGGAACACTTTTGTTCCGCCTTATGCCTTACGGCGGTGGCAGCGAAAGGGTTAAAGGGACAGCCCGAATCCTAGTACTGACAGTATTATTACAGAGTTAAACACTTTGTAACAAAGAAACTTATGTACATATGTTAAAGTAGGAGTCTACTCTGTTTAGACCTGCTTGTAGATAGCAGATTACATTTATTAAACTAATTATAGCTCTCTTGCGCTGCAGAAAAGGCCCAGTAGTCAAAAGCGAAACTCAAAATCATGAGCATCAATTGATTTCATTGAGCTGTTTATTGTCCTAAAGCTTCACCAAATAAAACCGTATTTAAAGTTCAACTATTCTAGCTTTTTTATTTCTCTCTACAGCTATGTTAAATGTTAAAATACTGTTATGCAATAATAGTCATATTTATCTTCTTTTACAGTGGGATGGAGTTGGGCCTTTTCCTGATTGTGTAGACCCACCAAAAGGAATCCAGATGCTATGGCATCCATCAATAGTTAAACCCTACCTCACACTACTTTCTGAATGCTCAAATCCAGATACTCTGGAAGGTGCAGCTGGAGCATTACAGAACTTAGCTGCAGGAAGCTGGAAGGTAAGAGTATAAGTTACTTATCGATCATGGCTGCATATTGTAGTTCAACTTCAGTACAGTAAAATAGGGGGTTCATGCCCACACAGTCATCCAAAATTGTAATATTATTAATATATAAAAACTAAAACCCAACCAAGAAATAAATTACTTAAATTAACAATGTTTTTTAAATTTAGTTGGGGGCTGTGGGGCCCTTCCAGTGCAAGGGTGTGAGGACTTTATGTTTTACAAAAAAGAAAAGCTAGTACAAATTCTAGTAGGGACAAGACACCTTTTAAGAACAAACATCGTTGGGAGGTGTGACCAGGAAGCGGGCGCGTGAGTGAGATCCAGCGTGGATGGTGGTACCCGCCTCCTGATTGTCTTCAATGCTGCTTCAACACTGCCAGCGATATACTATTTTAACGCAGACTGGCAGCAACGAAGGATCGGGAGGGGGAGCAGGCGCACGAAGATGTGCATTGGCGGCTTCCCCCCCCCCCCCCAAGGTTTTTTGGGTCCCACCGACTTT